CATCTCTTAAAAGACAAGCAGCTAAAGTGGCTGGTCAGAGCACCCCCCCCCCCCCCCGTGCGATAAGCAGCTATGGCAGAAATGGATTATCTTGCTTTTAAAAAATAGACTTTTAGGATGGAAATCAGGAGTTTTCTCTGAGTTTTTTTCTGGCATTTATTTATTATTTTCTTGGTGCTGCAGTCTGACTGCCATTGAAATTTGATGGAGCATTGCTCTAGGTGTCACAAACTAGTCTTTGTGCGTTTGCTCATGAGCTGCTGGGTGTGCTCCTTGAATTTAAGTGATCAGCTGTTATCAAGTCCTGATCTGGAGTCTGTTGGATGTCATCTGCTTATGTATCAAAGTAAGTCACATCCTGAAGGGATCTAAGTATCATTGTCATGTCTAACAACCAGACAAGGTGTGCCATAGATTTGGAACCAAGACCAGATAATGTAATATAGCACAAAAGCAGATAAATAGGCATGTAAAAGAATATCTAGGTTAACAGAATTCTTCTATAATAATTTGAGGACAACATGAATATCTATAGTACAGGTTCCCTGCTTCTGGATGTTATATATTGAGTAAAGCTTCTTATTATTTAATAGAGTCATTAGCAACCACACACTAAAATCTACTTACATCAATATTTCAAATGAAGAAGCGGTACCTTCAGATGCCAAGGGATATTGTCAGAAAGCTTGCTAGCAAGATGTATAGGATGATACTATATATTTTAGACAATGAATGAATGATGATGAAACACATAGGTAAAATAATTACTAATAAATGTAAAGTGCTTACTGTCAAAAGTATATAAGAATCTTAAAAACAGCAAATTGCTTAAAAGTGAGGCAGTCTGAATTCTGCTTTTGGACTATACATATAACCCAAAATTCACAAAGCCCTTAATGCAGAATATTCAGTTCTCTCAAGCAACAGTGCACCTATTGAATGGATCCTGTGTTGACTTTAATTCAGACAGATTTTCATCTACCTAGAATGGATGGGTCTGAAGCTACTCCATTCCAAATGTGGGCATACTTTGGTCCCAATCTGTTTCTTGTGACATATCATGAATAATAGCACTGTGGCAGCCATCCCTCCATTCCCATCTTCCAAAATGTTGGTTGTTTATAATAGAGAGGTTGCCCCCAGGCATCCACAATAATTCTTTTTTGGATCTTGGTGTTCTCACAGGAAGAAAAGGGAGAGGATTGCATTCAGTGAGTTACAGGTTTGCTCTCAAATCAAAGGAGCCTTACAGTCAGACCACAATTGAATCTCCAACTTTAGAAGGTCAACAACCAACCTTTCAGAAACATCCATTGAAGGACCTGGTAAACCAGAATATATATAGATATTTTTAAGAATTAACCTTGCTGTATGATTATAAGAAATGTATTTAATTAAAAAAAAAAACTGAGACCAATTGTTTTGCAATGTAGGGAACATCAGTTCTGTATTCTGAATTTCTTATATTATTATCTGTATTCATTTTGATTACATTTTAAAAATAATCAATGAAACTTAATGATTGGTTTATTGTCTTAAAACTCTTCCTCAAATATATTCAAAACAGTATGGGTTTCTGAGGCAACCAGTGTATCTGTCTAAATGCTTTGCAGAAGAGATAATATCTGGCTCAGCAAAATTGTTGATCAGAGAAGACATCTAGATACATAACCTTAGCACTACCTGGCCTCAACATGGGAGGTTTTACTGGGCATCTCATAAACAACCATCATCTCTATTATATTCTATCCAAGGACTGTGATAAAGTTTTCTTGCCTGGTGTGGATGATTATTGGTAGTTGCCATTGTTAGCTCAAACGTTGTGGAAGTGCATAAAGATGAATGGCCATCTGCTGTGCCTTGAATCATCCGTTTAAGACTTAGTGTAGAAAAGGATGCAAGCTGGTGCCTTGGCCTTCAACACCTGTCTCTCCCAGCCAAAATGGCCAATGGCAAGGGCTAGTGGGAAATACAGTCCACACATTTGGAAGATCCTGTATGCCTTTACTTGTGCTTAGGCTAATGTCCACACACTTCTGAAAATACTAATATTTAGCCATCCTGGCTCCAGGTGTAATCTTTGTAGGGCTTAAGGTTTTCTTGGTCTGGATTTTAGGAATCTTGCAGCTTTCTTATCCATCTTTAAAATATTGCAACATGAAAATTAAAAACAAGTTTGCTGAGTGTAAAAGTACATTAGTGCAAATTTTCTTTCTCTTACTTCCCTCTTCCTCTTCCATACATATATTAAAGGATCTACAAATGGTTATCCTTGCAATTAATTATAACCAGAGAGGGATAAACAGGAGCTTAATGGCAAAACAAAAGCTGAGTTTAGCAGCTGTGCCCATTCTATATTGATTTTGTAGTCCATGAGCTAAAGGCTCTCTTCAGAGAACTCAGCTGAACCATCTCAGTGGCAAGAGTGCTGATGGAAGACAGGGACATCAGGGCAGTTCCTTAGTTAATAATGAATGAGTTTCTGATAAAATCCACTCTCTCAGATGGCTTCTCAGGTGGGGGAAATTAGTGTTACAATGATCAAGACCATAAGTTATATCTGCAAAAAACCACTCAATGAGCATTTTCTTAAAAAAGTATATTTGGGCAGGTTTTAGTTGACTGCTTCCAGACTGCTTCATTAATAAAAGGGTACTTCTGGGATCCCACGAGCAGGCACATTTCTACCAGGTATGTCACGTAATGTGTCTGGGAAATTGTGGACAATCATAAAAGGGGCATGATATTGAGGTGGGAAACTCTTGTCAACAGTTTGTTTCTTTCTAAGAATAATTAGAAGCTCCTTGGGAGCAGGGGGCTAGTAGTGTTGTTAATATAAAACCCTGAAAAATTCTACATAGACTGATGGGAAAATATAAATAATATGTGAGCTGGGATATCTAAGTTTTAAATATTACTTTTAGTCCTAGAGTCCTAGGGCTGGCAAATGGCTTATAAACTAAAACAATGAATAAAGTATTATTGTAATGGCTCAGTTTTATCATTTTGGGGTAAGGGTCATTCACGATAACTTTATTTCAATTTCATCTTTTCCTTTTCCCTTTTAGCAAGAAGTATAAATGCTGGGCTCTCATGACATTATCATTTCCTTGTGGACATTTATTTACTGTGGCAGTTTCAGGTGTCTTTTGTTCTGGAGACTGATACATCTTTCTTATGTTTAAACATCTCAGTATTGTTGCTGGGAAAGTAAAAAACTTTCCTGTCTCTAGTGTATGCCATCATTGTTGATGTGATTACAGTGTGCAGTAAGCTTGTTTAAGGTTTCAAATGCTTAGTGGTTACTTTCTGTGACTAAAATGGAAATTGGGGGAATTTTTTTTTGCAAATTATTTTGTTTTCTGGCCTAGAAACTAGTTATTTATCTTTGCCTGAAATGTCTAGAAGACATACTTGTTTTCCCAGTGAAATAAAACAAAACAAAATATCCCTCCTACATTCTCAGATGCATTAAATGAATGTTTGCCTGGCCTTTGGCTCCTATTGAAATAAAAGTTGTGTGGATTTCATGGTTGCTGTGGATACAGGTAACTGCCTTTGGTTGAGGGGACACTTGTACAAAGCTGCCCTTGTCCTCCTAACAGATGCATGGACAAATAATTTCAAAAAAGAGGTGGAGTTATTTGTATAGCAGAAACTGGTTTTTCTACAGTCATGTAAATGCAGAGAATCAATTGTGCTTGCAAGGGCTAAAGGACATCTACATCACTGCTGGAACTGTGACTTTGAACACTAGCAGTTCTAAAGGCTGACTTCTAAGAGAATAATCATTTATTCTGTGCCATGGCTGGCTTCTTAGCAGGGTGCTATGGTTGAGCTGGAAACATTTAAAGGTGTGTGTATGTGTGTGTGTATACACATACATGGGAGCACTCTGATGTATTTCACCAGCTTGCCTTAGCTAGACTATTTAAAAGCCTCAATTTTTTGACATTAAAAGGGCAGCAAAGAGTTGTGTACAAGGCGCCTGAGAATACCAGACTGGCCAATAAATAAATATTTACTTATTCCCAAGGTGTTACAAAGAATTGTCCTCATATCCATCAAACGGGGTGTGTGTGGGAACTGGAAGAGCAGTGGTTCTTTGTTTTGGGGCCACTAAAGGGACACAGACTACTGATGAGGAAAGCTTGGGCTTTTCAAAATGTCCATGGATTGCAAGTCTTCAATTATAGATCTCAAGTTGATTTTATTCTTTAATGGAAATTGTCATTTCTGGAATGAATTCCTGGGGGTATAGTGAGTACAGCAGAAACACTTCTGTTCTGACATACTGGTGATGCATTTGTTTCATTTTGCCATGCTAGCTGAGAATTCTTCATGTCCAGCAGATCTGGAAGACAACAGGCTGGAGAAGTCGGCAATAATGCAAGCGCTGGCATTTGTAAGTACTGACGTGCTCATAAATACCCATGATCAGTAGCAATATGGTTTTTCAGATGCATTTCAAGGTGCCGCTTCTTTTATACAGATAGACAATTTCACATGTATTCTTTCTATCTAGATTCTTTATTAATCTGCAAAATCACAGTTGTAAAAACCATGCAGAATATTTGCATAAATAATATCACTTGAAAATAAATAGAACTATGTGATAGCCCCAAACCTGTAAAGTGACTTACTGTTTTCAAGCCATTCACCTGCTTTAGGTTGCAAAAGATTTTGTAACAGCTGCTGGCTGCTTTGGGGCATCATAATAAATCATAGTTTATTATAAGAGTTCCCGCCTACCATAACTACCATCCATAATTATGTGGCATGGCTGTGAGGAGAAGAGGAATTAAAAGTATTAAATTTGTGGAGTTTGGAGAATGAAGCAAGTTAGAATTAATCTAAAACAGATTAATTCTAACTTGCTTCATTCTCCAAACTCCACAAATTTTAATAGAGTGCAACAGATCAATGAAATGATAGCTTACAAAGATGATTTGTCTGAACGAACTATAGTTAAAATTAGCCAGTGCTTAAGAGTCAAAAGTGAAAGCATTTGATATTATTGCAGCCATGCTAGTAAGTAGTTTAGTGCTACAACTAATAGTAGTGCTCTAAGTATGGGGAAGATAGTTGGAAAAATGTCATGTTTGTTTTATAATTTGCATTTATAGGGTGAGCATATAAGCTACCCATAACTCTGCAATTGCAGGAGAAATGGAATGTCATGCTATTTTTTTGTGGTGTTGTATTGTTTTGAAATATTAACAATGTACATTGCTTGGCGTGAACAGCAAAGTCTTTTTCCAGTAGATTTCATTTAGTTGACTGTTTTTGTTGCTGCTAGTTTTGGAAAACATGTAGCTTGTTCGTGGAGACAAATGGAAAGTCGACATAAAAGTATTTTGAAGGAAAATGAAATATGGAAAAGGAAGAACCTTATTAGAATAGCTGGAGAATGTGTCATGTGCTACATTAGTGAGGAAGACATCATAGTACTAGGAAAAAACAATAGTGTGGGTTACTCCTTGATCAGAATTGAAAACATGGAATACTTATGCTTCCTATAAAACGGACTTACTTTAGGTAGCTGGAGAATGTGTCATGTGCTACATTAGTGAGGAAGACATCATAGTACTAGGAAAAAACAATAGTGTGGGTTACTCCTTGATCAGAATTGAAAACATGGAATACTTATGCTTCCTATAAAACGGACTTACTTTAGGTAATACTTTAGAACATAGAAGAAATACTTGTGTCATATCTTATTAGATCTCAGATTCTACATAAGGGCAAAATAATTTTCAAGTAAGGATGGAACAATTAGTTACTTGACCAGAGTGCATTAAACTTGTATTAATCTATCTATGTCATCATGCTGTTTAAAATTTTGTGCTGTTTTCCAGTACTTTATTGCTTATTAATAGTCTTTCTATCAATATTCATTTTAGATAATGCTGCTCCAGTGTACTCTATTAATGGCTCATATGTTCATCTTAAAATCATATCTATACTTTATTGTAAAAATTATATTTTATTCTATGAGTTCATGCTCTACCTTTCTACTCATAGAAAACTCATTTCTGTGACTATGAGATTGAATAGGAAGGCTGAATAATAAATAAATAAATAAATAAATAAATAAATAATGAAGTGACATCATATAATACCACCCAGAACTTACTCATATTTCAATTTATTATATTTTTATATTTATTTAAAGTTTATATAACTTGCATACTTCTTCAGTTTTGTAAAAGAGGGTATCATTTTTGAATCCGTATGTGTATACTAATATATACAGGTAGTCCTTGTTTAGAGACTGCCTCATTTAGAAACTGTTAGCAGTTACAACAGTGATGAAAAAGTAACTTTATGACCAATCCTCACATTTATAAC